AAACGTGAACAATTTTTAGTTTGGAAGTTGGAATTTGTTTTTAAGATTTCCCAGTGGAATAAAAACTGTACCTATTGATCCAATTTTCTCAAGTTGGGTTCATAATATCAAAAAAGCGCCGGTCATAAATTGTTCTAGAAAATCAAAGAGTTTAAAGAGCATCAATTTTTTCTTTAAAATTTGAAAGTTGAGATTCTTTCAAGAAAGTCCGTATGTTTTTTATGTTTACTCGCGTTCATTACTCTTTTCCAATCTTCGATTGGCTATGTTTTGTTTTTAGATACAACTCAAAGTCATTTGCAAATGGAAAAGCCACTTACGTTTTCCAACTATACGAAAACGAAAATGGTTCAAAAAACTTAGGTGACTTTTTTTTCAAAAACAGACTTTAATTTGAGAATTCAAAAAGCTGCCTATTTTTCTAGTTACCTTAAATTTGGCAGTTTTTGTCAAAACATCAAATTCATAAAAGACCCTGGAATTTCAGAACTGATCAACTGAAGTTTTATGGAACCAGTTCAAAAGTATCTATTTTTTCTTTTTATATTCTTGATAAACTATCTCTGTAAAATACTTAGAACTAACCGACCAAGATTCATAACTAACACTTACAATAATTTGTAATGCTGAAATTGTTTATAGTTTCATCCACAACAAAATAAATTTAATCTAGCAAACAGTTGCTCCTCTTCAGAACCGTTGCTGATATCTAGCTTCGCAAATACCAGTTCACACCAGATCTATCCAGACTAGGAGATATAAGAGTAAGATTAAGATTGGTGTTAGACTAAGAAGTTGCACGAATCTATCCGGCGGAAAATAAGATAGCGCGTGGAACAGACGGTGTACCTTATCTTAAATAACTTTATGAGTGAGCCACCCAGGACATAAACTCATCTGGTGCGACCAAGAGGTTCGAAAAGACCTCTACATATTTGGATTTTGCAAATTCAAAAAACAATCAAGATCCGAAAACACAACACAAAATGTTATGAAATATTGAAAACTTACCTCCACGTCTCAATAAGTGTAACCAATACAATTGAGTATTCAAACTTACACCGGGTCAAAACAGACTGCAACGATTATCTCTCTACGAAACTATCAATGCAGTACGTTTTTATTTACTAATAAGGAATAAAATACTTGGAGCATTAAGATACAATTCCGAGATACATATCTCTCAATGGTGTATAAGAAGTAATAATGTAAGACCAAACCGATCTAGATCCGTCGTCTTTTTTTTTTTCAAAAATCTCCCGTAACATTAGGTTTTTTGTAACTTTGAAATTAATTAGGTGATAAGTAAAAAAATCAGTCTGTAAATAATTTAAATTATTTTTCACCAATTTATAAAAAAGAATCCTTGCCTCTCAAGGGCTCCTATCACTCTTATTATTTCTTCTTTGTTTCTTCACCCAAAACATAGCACATAATCACTCAAAAAACTAATATTTTATAAATTTTAAATTCAAACCTTTTCGTAAATGTTTACTTTTTCAAAATTTAAAAGGTTTTCAAGATCTAGCATTGTTTAAGTTTGTTTTAATGTTTCTGTAAACCAGGCCATCAAGGCTATTCTTGGATTTTCAAAACTTTATCTTGAGTTCAATTTTAAATCATTTTATACAGTTGATCGTCAAACCTTTACTTGGATCAAGTAGAACAGTTTCGTTCCCTCACCTCCAAATACTAGTGTTCAACGACATCAAACGTCCAAAACCTAATACTCTCCAGACCTTACAAACGAGCCACGACTAACTGAAACTTTTCAAATCACTAACAATTCTGTTTAGGATAAGTAGCTAAGAATTCCGGTTACTCGTCCTTCACTTAAGCTCCTTTTATCGAACCTTCTACTTGTGTTCTAGTTATACCTGAACTTTGTGGATTGAAATACTATTCCCCGACCCTTGATCAAAAATCGAAACCCTAAGTAAGATTGAGTTTTCGTATCAAACTTAACCTCTTGAGAAAGTATAAAATCCTTCTAACGAATCGATATACTCTCTCTCCAACACATCTATACACGACAAGCTATCGACCAGGATTAAGATAACCTCATAAAACTGTAAGGACGAACGGTTCAGGAAATAGAAAACCTATTTCTTGGATTTTGCACCAATCACTTTAACATTTATGTCAAGAGATAACTTAGGAAACAACTAAACAATAATACTTTTTATTTCTCTAACTTTAATTTTTTACTTCTTGAGGAGAGATACGATCTTGTATTTACACCGCATAAACGAAAGATACGAAAAATCCGATTGAAAGAAAAAACAAAAAGAAGGCAATATTTGCACAACAGAAACAAAAAATTCAGTCAAAATTTTCCAGAACACGAAATGCAGTTTCGGAATCCGACTCATCAACAATGTAGGGACTTCAAAACCTTCGAGATTTAACCAACGACAAAAATAAACCAGCAGACAATCAAGGATATTTTTCAAAATCAGAGTCCGCAACAGCATCATCTATAAAAGGTAAACGTAGAATG